TGAAGTTGCAGGAGGGAATGAAAGGAAATGCTTATTCTCAATCCACTGTCACTATATTATTATTTTTGAAACTGAGTTTTTAATATAACCTCAAGTAGAATCATTTGATATTTAATAATGCTAGTAATCCATCTTCTTTCTGTCTATAAAGGATTCCATCTTATACAACTCCCATAGTGCCTCTCTGGCCAGTGTGAAATGTGCCTGCATTTACATTTTGTGACAGGAAAAATCATTTATTTGGGGACTGGAAATCTGACCACTTGATGAATCTTTGAATAAAGCTAAATTAGATTTCTAAAATTATTTTGTTTTTTAAACAATTATAATGAACAACAATCCACATCATTAAATATTCTACAATATCATTAATGACTTCAGAGAATGCCCTTGTGTGAACAGTTCCCTCCCATTAGCCACTTACGTAGCTTGCAATTTTGTTTAAAAAAGATTTATGCATACAAAATTGGGGTACAGGCCAGAGAAGCAGGGGTGGTGAGAGGATTCACCAGAGACAGTGGGGAACAGAACAGGCCGACTGACTGAAACACACTGCTGAGGGCAAGACAGGAGAGGTCTGCTACGCCATGTGGGTCAGCTCCCTGGCTGGGATTGAACTCGCTGCAGTGGCTGCGACTAGCTTTGTAGTGCTGGGCTTTAACCCATTGGGATACCAGGGAGGGCCCCTGCAATTTTCATTTTTATAAGTAATTTTCAAATAAGCTTTTTTTTCTTAATTTTTATCCCTCCCTGACTATTTATTAAAATAAATTTCCAGAAGTGTAACTAGAGGGTGAAAAATACTTTGAGTGTTTTCACACATTGACAGTTTTCCTTCCAAAAATTTGCCATCAGGAGTGCATGTGGGGAACCTTTCCTTACACCCCATCCCCTCAATCTCCTGCCCTTTGCTCAGAACACCATTTCATTTGTATGTGGCTCAAGAATGTTTTTACTCTTCTGATGTCTTAAAATAGAATATATTTTTCAGTTTGGAGAATGAGATGTTCTTTTTAGTTCTCTGTTTGGGGGGTTGGTCATTTGAGTTTCAGTCTTAATTTTACCACTAAATTTATCTTAATAAATAATAGTTATTACTATGACCATGTGCAAAGGTTTAAAGAAGGAGAAAATAGTGAATATTAACCTCGAATTATCTACAGCATTCTGTATTTACTTTGAATGTTTTTCAGCGCTCCAGTGCATTTCATCTGTGGCTTTTCTTGTGTATGACTCCCCCCCTTGTACACTGTGCCCCAATATCTGCAGGCTGTTGACAGGAGCCCTGTCTAGCCACTGCTTCAAGAGCAGATTTGCTTTTTTTTTCTCTTAGTGCCACAACTTTCAATAATTTCCTTTTTGTTTAACTTACCTATATCTATATTAGCTTATTTTTGTTTTATGACACATCACAGTAACCTTTACAATTAAAAAAAAAATTTCCCTCCTTTTTTTCTTTTTAACTATTGCCTTGGAATACTCAAGGATCTCAAATTTTTCAAAGTAGGATTATCAAAAATTCATTGTTTATGTCTCTTGACTTAGTGAATCTTGCTAGATGAGGCCTTGTAGCTACTGTTAGGAGACACCAGTAGAATCAATTGCTTTATCTCTTTTACTTCTTGCTTCCCCACGTGAGTAACAGGGCTGACAGACATGTATGAGACCTTTTTAGCAAAGGTGATACTGATCAAAGTACATGGACATTCAGAAGTTATTTGGGGGATAGCTTGCAGATCATAAACGGTCATACCACAATAGCTAGTAGCTTCTTGTGGTTTTGCAGCACTCAGTCAGTCATGAGATTTACTGGTGTGGGAGTGAAGTCTTGTATGTTGACAGAAATAGGAAATGGCTCCATCCAGGTGAACGAAGCCATTGAGTATCATGAGTATCTATTAAGTGTCATGCACATATTCTCTTAACTTTAGCAGGGGAGATAGTACCTCTACTTCACAGATGAGATTAAATTTCACAGAACTTAATTAACTTGCTTAGGAGCAGACAGTAAACATCAGTTCCTAATGCAGATGGAGGTCCATCTGACTTCATCTCCCATACATTGTCCCATTCTGGCACAATAATTGTGGTGAAGTAGGGTTCCAAAAGTGAAGGTTTAAGTATATTTTGTAAGTACCCTGTTTATGGTCTTTGCAAAATCTTGATAAAGGTAGTAAATAGTAAGTTATGTCGAACTCTTTCTTTGTAACAGACAATGAACCAAGCCAAGTGTCAGAGCCCAGGAAGCTGTCATCACCAGCTCATGCAGAGCCAAATCGGACAGTAGATCCAGAGCTGGGTCCCCAAGATCTTCAGGAAAAGAAAATCCAGGTACTTGAGGAGAAGGTTCTCCGACTTACACGGACAGTTCTTGATCTCCAGTCTTCCATTGCTGGAGTGAACGAAAACCTCAAACATGCCATTCAGGACGATGCCAGCAAAATGGCATCGTGGTTCAGTAACCTGCACCCCCAGCCAGTGCCAGACAGTGTGGTTGCGGGAGACACAGAAAGAGTTCCACTTTCTGGTGTCCTCGACAATAAGGAAGCTGGCATGAAGGACATCAAGTCAGAATTGGCTGAAGTCAAGGATGCTCTGAAGACTAAGAGTGACAAGCTGGAAGAGCTGGATGGGAAAGTGAAAGGTTACGAGGGGCAGCTCAGACAGCTCCAGGAGGCTGCTCAGGGTCCTACAGTGACCATGACAACCAGCGAGCTCCACCAGGCTTATGTGGACAGCAAGATTGACGCCCTGAGAGAAGAGCTCATGGAGGGGATGGACAGAAAGCTAGCTGACCTGAAGAACATGTGTGAGTACAAGATGATTGGTCTCCAGCAGCAGTGCGATGACTATGGGAGCAGCTACCTGGGAGTTATTGAGCTTATAGGAGAGAAGGAAACAAACCTGAGAAAAGAAATTGATAAACTTCGAGCCCAAGTTCAGGATCCTTCAGCTCAGTCTGATTGCTGTGGTGGCGAGAAGAGTGGTGGTGATTTGGCGCAACAAATCAAGCAATTAGACCAGAAAATTGAAAGAGTCGCTGAGGCTGCCAGAATGTTAAATGGTCGACTGGACAATGAGTTTGACCGCCTTGCAGTTCCAGAGTCAGATGTGGACTTTGATGCAAGATGGAGTGAGCTGGATGCAAGGATCAACGTGACAGAGAGGAATGCAGAAGAGCACTGCTTTTACATTGAAGAGACCCTGCGAGGGACCATTAATGGAGAGGTTGATGACTTGAAGCAACTCCTGAATCAGAAAATACAGTCCCTGGAAGAGCGTCTGGGGAGCGTGCTGGAGCTGGCTAACAACACTGATGCGGAATTCACTTTCCCGGCGTCAGCCCCATCGGGTCCATTGGGGGCAGGAAATGAACAAGTCATGATGGAATTAAACCACTTGAAGAACAAAGTACAAGTTGTTGAGGATTTTTGCTTGCAAAATTTCCAGGGAGAACCTCATGGGCTAGAAGGTACTTGGCCAAATGGTGAAGACCACACAGTGGGTGATAGCTTGGACCTTTTGAAATCTCTAAATGATTCTATGTATAGGAAGTTTCAAGAAATCGAACAGCGTATCCAGAAAGTTCAAGAGGATTTTAGTTTTCTTTATTCTCAACTAAACCACACTGAAGATAATGTGAGTCATCTCCAGAGTGAGCTGATCAACTGTAGAGAAGGTAAAACTGCTGGAGAGGGTGGGTTTTCTATGGAGGATGAGCAGGAAAGGACAGTGACGCCCCTCCCTCCTCCCCAGGACCCTGTGGCTCCATGCTGTGACCAGCTGGAGGAGAGGTGGCGGAGGCTGGAGGGCCAGGTCCTCTCTGAGCTTAACACATGCAAGGAAGATGCACGCGGGGCCCAGAGGGACATCTCCGTGGTGGAGGGCAGGCTGGCCCACGTGGAGCAAACTTGCAGCAAATTGGACTCCATCTCTGGAAACCTTCAGCGGATCAAGGAAGGACTCAACAAACACGTCAGCAGCCTGTGGACCTGTGTCAGGCAGATGAATGGGACAATGAGGGCCCATTCCAGAGATATTTCTGGCCTGAAGAATTCAGTCCAGCAGTTCTATAGTCACGTTTTCCAGATTTCTACCGATTTGCAAGATCTGGTCAGATTTCAACCATCAGCAAGTAAGTTCATCTTTACAATTCTGTTTCTTGTATTTGTTCACGACATGTATTATGCTAGATTTTGGATGAGGTGTAGAATTAACTAAATCATGTAGGTTTTACCCTCACAGTGATTCAGACTGGTCCCAGTTTGTGACTAGTTTGGTGTTGGGTAATAGTGAAATAATCACTAACCCTTGAGAGTATTTAGTAACTCCCCAAATACTTTGAGTTATAGTATTCAAGCACATGGGGGTTTGTTTTACAAAACTATCAGTTGGCAGCACAGGTAGGTGGTGAGATACTGCCCGGCACTTTCATTGGTGAGCCTGGCGGTAGGGTCAGATTTCTGCGGTAACCACTGGGGATGCTAGTGGTGTCCTCCAGGGCGTCTAAGGGGCCTTCTGCAGACGAGTCTCTGCTCCTCTCTGTAGGCGCCATTTTTTGGTTGCTGATATTACCTTTGCCGTCATCATCTTTGCCCCCCTCTGCAATCACAGTCCGAGATGACAGACAGGCTGCTGTCCTGTCTCCAAGGCCACAGATCGGGCCACAGGCGAAAGCACGTTAGGGGCAGTAACTGCTGAACGCCCCTCAGTGCCTGGCGCGGGATGGCACGGCCCTTCTCCCATGTGTGAATGAATGCATGAGCAAATGGGTTCCTGACAGCTTTGGGTAATACAGGCAACAAAGTTCATTTATTTGTTACCTGGGTGCTAGGCACATAATCACAAAAGGGCAAGGCATTTCTTGTTGCTGGATTCTTGTATTTGCTGTAAGCCTCAACCATGAGCCGTCTTTTCTGACCAGGGGTAGCTGGGAAAGGAGGGACACGGGAGCTGGTGGTTATTGAGCGCTCCTGTACTGTCCTGGACGCCCCACCTCAGACGCTCAGTTTTCTAGAGGGAAAAGGTCACATAACTGGGAAGTGGTAGAGGCTGGAGAATCCAGTGCAGGCCACACCCAAGAATGCTTGCTCATCCTCATTGGGTCTCCCAGAAGAAACACAGACTTCTTGATCCCTAAGGAATTGAGAGCCAGCTGCGTGCCTAGAGGAACCCCTTTTCCTGATCCTGCCTTTCCCTGTTTCTGTTTCTTCTATCCTCCCCTCTAGGTCTGTCACTTTTCTCTCTTGCTCAATCCCAGGTGACCCTTACATGTCAAACTGAGATTTCACGGCTTGGGAACGAGTGTATAGGATTCTAGGATTAGGTCCCAGCAGAAGCCAGCTGAGGAGGGGGAGGCTGGAGCATGAGTGGTGGACTGGCCCTGGTGTGGTGGGGAGGGCAGGGGATGGCCCTGGAGCACAGAGTGGTGGGGCGGGCTGGGCCGTGGTAGCCAGGTGGGGAAATGCTTTGTGTTCCCAGAGATCGGAAAGCTGTAGCAAGGAGTGACCCAAGGCAGGGGTCTCCACTCCAGTGCTGGGCCTACCACGCCACGTTATTTATAGCCCTCCCCCTTTCTGCCAGACCCACTCAGCTCCTGTATCTCTGGAATGTTGAGTAAAGGTCACTAGACTGTGTGTGTGTTCATGGAAGGGTCATCCCTCAGGGTGACAGGCTGATTGGATTGTGCTTTACAACAGCAGATTGAAGCAGATGGTTTGCGACTCCCCGGTGATGTGGAAACCTGTTAACTCTTTCATGCTCGACTGTTGAAGTAGGAATTGGAAGTGAATATCTTTAAAGGAAATATGGCTTCCATAAGGTGGTCATTTTAAAAATGAGCTCATTGTTGTGAATGGACTTTTAACTTTCAGTGATGCAAAATTATCCAAAATAAATGAGCAGGACCTAATCCATCTTTGCAGAGAGTCCAGGTTTAGGGTACCCAGGAGAACCTGAGCATCACAGCTCATGAGAAGTATGGAGGCCACAGAACATTTATTGAGCATCTAGTATGTGCAGTGTCTGTGAGGAACACAGAGATGAATAAGCGAGGTCCTCACTCTCTAGGCATTTCCATCAAACCACCATGGTGGAGACACACACAGGTCTGCCGAGAATGAAGGAAAGCGGGTGTAAAGGCCTAGTGAGCAGTGCAGGGTTTATTCTTTAATTCCTAGGCTTACACTGGGCCCCTGGTATGTGGTAGGAGCTACTGATGGGAAGGGTATGTGTACACGTGCGCACACAAGCAGAGCCCCTGTGGCTGCTGTGGAAGTTCGGGGTTTCCCAGAGGAGAGTCCTTGAACCTTCAAGATTGAGTAGGTTGAGGGTTCAGAAGTCAGCAGGGTGAGGGCTGAGGTGGAATGATAAAGGGCACTTCTGGAAGGAGGTGTTTTTGGAGCTAGTAATTGAGGTGTGAGGAGGGCAGGCCTGGTATGATGAGTTTGTATTTACTGTCATCTAATAAACTATCTCAAATCTCTATGGCTTAAAGTAGAAGACAGCTATTATTTCCCAGGAGTCCACACTCGGGGCTTGGCTTGGCTGTTCTCATTTAGTGACAGTTTGAGTCACCTGCACTGCTGCATTCAGCTGCCAGTCAAACGTGACTGGGCTGGATGGGCTGGATGTTCCTGGAAGACTCTGGTCCTGTGTTTACTCATGGTCATTCTTCTCTTTTACTCCCTGGAGCTAACGTGGGCTTCCTTTCAGCATGGTCTTGGATGGTCACACTTTTTTTTTTTTTTTAATAATGTAATAGTTTACTTTTGCATCTTTTTGTGCATTTTTCCATCTCAATTGTTATCCCCTTGGGCTTCCCATCACCAAATCACCCATGTGCCATCACCATAATCCAGTGCATTTCCCTCCCCCCACTGTTTTTGATCCCATTCCCCACTCCATCCCTGGGTGGTCACACTTCATACATGGTGATTTGTTTGAAAGAGGTGGAAGCTGCTGGGCTGGCCTCACTTCTCTCATATTCTGTTAGTCAGAGCAGGTCAGTTCTTGGAGGGTGACTTGGCTTCCATGTGGGGAAGAACTCTTAGAGTTGCCTCACCTCTCTGTAAGCAAGGATGGCAGTGAGACGCATGATGCAGGCATGGACTGGTAACAGCACTGCAAGACCAGGTTGAAGACCCTGACACTTCCACTCAGTTGCTCTCTTCACAGGCCCTGTTCTGTTCTTTGCTAGCATCCCTGAAGGGACTGATTATCCAGGAGGCAGAATCTAGGAGACGGGGCTTCAGCTGGTGCAAAAGTGGAACCAAGGGCCCTCCCTGGTGGTGCAGCGGGTAAAGCACAGCACTGAGAAGCTAAAGCCACTCCCCACCCTGGGAGGTGACCCCATGGCGTGGCAGACCTCTCCTGGCCTGCCTGCTGGCTCCCCTCAGCAATGTACTTTGTCAGTCAGCCTGTTCTGCTCCCCACGCTGTCTCTGGTGGGTCCTCTTACCACCCCTGCACCTCTGGCCTATATCCCAATTCTGTATGCATAAATAAAAAAGGGAGTTTTGAAATGTGCAAACACCTAGTTATTGGACAGTCTGTAGTTTCCTCTAGGACTCAGAGGTCCTACAGCTTCCTACAGGCGAAGAAAAACTTTTCATCACTATTTATTTCACCTTCAGCTCAGTAAATTGGGTGCAATCTCCCTCCCCCGGCCCCATTACCCTCTTGCCCTTTCATTCAGATACTGGTTTATTCAGCAAATATTTATTGAGCCAGATCCTGGTGCTGAGTTTTGTGGATCTTATACTCCAGTGGGGGAAGAATGACTGTGCACAGCAAAGCAAATAAAGACCTGAGCTCAGCCCTCAGTTTGTGCCAGGAGAGAAGATAATAAGCCAGAGTAAGGCGATAGGGATTGGGGGGCAATAACAGTGTTTCAGCTGCCTGGGCAGGGAGGTTGCTCAGTTGAGATGAGATTTGAACAGAGGTGAGTAAGAGATGGCAGCGAGGCCTGTAGAGGCCTGTGTACAGTGTTTCAGGCAGAGGAGAAGCATATTCAAAGGCCCTGAGGCAGGAGTTTGCCCTGTTTGGTAAAACTCAGAACGCCAGTTTGATGTCTATGGGTAAGAGGAGAGCCGTAGGCACTGAGGTCAGAGATGCAGGAACCACATGGGATTTTGTAGCGTGTGATAAAGAATTTTAAGTATGATGAGAAGCTACTGGAAAATTTTTGAGTTGGGAAGTGATGATTTCCCAGTTCTGAGGAAAAAAAAAAAAAAAAGGGAAGGCCACTGACTTAATGCTAGTTCTGTGACTTTGGATGTTTTTATCTACCTAGTACCTTACTTTCTGCACTTATTAATGGAAAAATAACAGCACAAAGTTGTGAGGATTAATATTATAAAAAAGTGTGGCACTTTGTAATCCCTACATAAACAATACCTGTTGTTTGAACTCTATAATATCTGTGTAACCTGTTTTTACCTTTAAAAAATATTTATGCATACAAGAACTGGGATGTAGGCCAGAGATGTAGGGAAGTGTGAGAGGCTTCACCAGACAGAGTGGGAAGCTGAACAGGCAGATTGATTGAAATACACTGCTGAGGGGAGCAGCGGGCAAGACAGGAGAGGTCTGCTGAGCCATGTGGGTCAGCTCCCTGGCCAGGGACCAAACTCATTGCAGCAGTGGCTGGCAATAGCTTGATAGCGCTGTCTTTAACCCCTGTACCAGTATGGAGACCCTGTGAAACCTGTCCTTGGCTAAACTTTTCTTTCCTACAAGTCCTCTAGTGTCATGAGTGAAGGGGTTGGGAGTGGGGGCAGGGGCATTCCCTAGAGCAGATGTGAGGTAGAAGCCCTGATGTCAGTTTCCTAGCTTCTCTGTAGAATGTTCTAGACAGCCAAAATGGGTTTTCTTTCTTTCTCTTTATCTTCTTTTCTATGTTATAGGTCAGGGAGAAAGAGTAAAAATCTTGAAATCTTCCTTGCTAGCATTCAGAATTTCATGTTCAAATTCTTGTCAGAAGCACAACACTTAGGAATAAAACAAGGAATCACCTTGTCATTAAAACCTAAGTCCTTTGCTCTCTGGCCATCACAGCCTGGGGGTGCAACTCCTGTGCCTCACCTTCTCTGCCATTTCCCAGCTGGGTGGGTAGGCATCGTCCTTCAGCCTTGTG